CTCTAATTCTATAATAAGGGTATTTAGTCTTTTGACCTCCTCAGACTTCAGATGAAATTTTTCAGTAATTTCATTTAGCTCCTTAACATTCGACTTATATTTCTGAATTAAATAATAATCATTAGGTAACTGAAATTGGTCATTTTCGTAATCATAGAATAAATGTTTGTCTCCATACGTATAACAAATAAAGATCAACTGCTACCAGAATATAAGATTAGATTACATCTACAAAATTAAGTAATGTCTTGATACCTGTTTCATAGAATTGTACTCTTGACGTTCTTTTTCTAATGAAGCTTCGAATTCTGCATTTTCGTTTAAGCGTGCCAACTTTTATTAAATAATGAAATTGAATTAAAGTTTGAACAATACATCCAAATCTTAATTTAAAAACTTTATATTATTGCTTATTAATGTTGTATTGTCTTAGATAAAATATTGCTAAGCTTACTAAATCATCAATATCGATACCTTGGCATTAACAGCAGCAATAGTTACTTCTCGTTCATTAAGTTCATTGATTACCCTACTAACTTCCTCCTTAAGATCTGCTATTATTCCGTTCTTAGAATCAATTTCCTGCCTTAGTTTACTAACATTTTGAGCCGAATCATGCAAAGAATAACGATAGTGTTGCATTTCTTTCATTAATTTGTCAACGTTTAGAGTGTGGGGCTGTAATTGTTGTTGTGAGGATGTCATAAAAGTGCTCTCATTAGCAATATTCTCTCTTTGTTGTGGACGCATAATCTAAATAATTTCATAATTATTATATCTCTTAGTGAGCAATAGAAATATTTGCACTATACCAAAAGCTTCAAATCGTAGAAAAAAACTGAAGCACTTGCAAGATGATATTGTATACCTCCGATTTCAGATGATCAACAGCAGTGGCTGTACTCTCTAGTTGTCCTTCGTATGCTATTAACTTATCATTCACATCGATAATAGATTGATTCTTTAACTCAATTTGATGCTTTAAATCCCCAACTTGCCTTCTTAAGCTACTTATAATGCTATCCTTATTTCGTGCATCACCAACATCATCATTCCTAGAAATACTATTCAAGCTATCGTTACTGCCATGGAAGCTATTACTACCTGCAGAGCCGATCCAACCATTTTTTGCTTGATTAAATACTGATTGAGTGTATGTGCTGTTTAGCGGTGGTGTTATTCCGACATCACTATACCTATGGCTGCTACCACTTGAAGGGCGAGGACGCGATGGAGGTCGTGGGACTAAGTTTGTCTATTAATAAGCAGTCAGGATAGTTCAAAATTATTAATACAACTTTAGAGGATAACATATCTACTATTATAATGATATCATTGATATTATATTATGTGCTAATTTTATTACCGTAGCCAAGAACTGGTAAAAGAATAACTTACAGGTTGAGTCCGTGAGCCAGGCAATGATCCTGATCTCTGCTGTTTCACGACAGAATTGGAATGTATCTGCGGTAAGTGTGCTGTAGCAGTAAAATTGGCACCTAGATTCATTGGATGTATAGCTTTCGGAGATTGTTCTGTTACTAAAGTTTGCTGTCGGTTACCCTGATAATAAAATTGACGTAACCAAAATCTATTTAATCAACTTACGGCGTCAATAGATTTATAATCAAATTTGCTGATACTTAGGTATCATAAAAGTCTATCATGACTGATATTCTTTGATAACGAAAATTGCAAGATAAAAAAATAAAAATAATGGAGTAAATTAATGTATAGAAAATTTCCTTACAGCGAGCGCTAAGTGAGTTAGCGTCTCATCAGTATCAAATTGAAAAGCGATGCCATCAAAATCGAATCTTAAAATATCACCAGGTGCAAGCTGAATGTAACCATTCTGTATAACTTTGTCGTTAACATAAGTTCCATTAGCAGTATTCAGATCTCGTAGATAGTAGTGCCCATCGCTATCATGGTATTCGATGATAGCATGTCGTCGTTCCAGGTTAGGTGACTACAGCGAAATTTGCAAGATACAGTATATTAGGATGACTTACTTTAATATTATATACAGTTACTCTTGAATAGCTATTGGACAGTAACACCATATCATTTTAATTTAGCTATCTATGAATGAATATCTGACATTGCCATGATCTTGTACTATCAGCGAAAATAATTAATGACTGATAAATTTCTTTCATTTTTGTGATAGTTAATGTTAAATCTACAAGGAGTATGAATTATATCTTCCCAATACATTTATTTCGTATTCCATTTTGTACTATTAAAATACATTATATAGACCTTCATATTTTACATAGATGAATAGCTATTAAGATTAGATTTTACTTTATAGCAGATTTATGCTTGTTCTATCACCGATATTAAGTGCCCTTAGTGTGAATTTTGAAACCAACCTGTAGTAGTAGATCACAGTTGTCCCTGCCGATCGTTGTGAAACGAGGATCTAGGAGAAAAAGCCCATCGCTAGATTTCAAGTAACCCTTCATATCGTCAATTAAATACAATTTCGCTAGGTATCTACTTAGGGATCAAGAATTTGTTAGTACTGCTCTGGAGGGTCATAAAACCTAGTTATTTCCACAAGTATTACCAGTAAATACGATCAAATTTTTTAAGGTAAATTTACAACTGTATGTATTTATATACTGTATCACATCATAGTATAAGCCACAATATATCTCTTATAATATACGGTACAGTATACTAGATGATATCGTACCAAATATTAATAGTTCTTTATTCTTTAACTGTAAGCTATATGAAAGTGCTAGTATGATTTATGCTCTTAGGCTGACGTTGTTGCCATGGCAATGTAAACTCTGGCTAGATTATTACGCGTCTGTCATAAAAGAGCAGAAGAAACATTGACTGCCTAAGTACTACTAAACATCTTTCATAGTCTACGGGAGCTATATAAGCCCAGTGTATGTGAGATTTATTATTTTCTTCTTCCAATAGTAAAATCAGCAATATATTATAACGCTCGGTATTGATTCATGCTTGCAATGATGTATCGTAGAGGTAAGAGGAATTCCTCTACGCAGGCTAGTATTGCCGTACTACGGCCGAAGGCAAGCCTAGGTTAACTGTATAATGTTCTGGCATTCCTACACTAACAGCGTAATCAGTAAAGGTAATGTAGGTAATACCAGATATGTCGCTTACAGTTTCAGAGTAATACTTTAAATAGTAAAAGCGTATAAAGTAGATTATATGAAGATGTACATACACATTACATATTCTCATTGTACTCAAGTTATTGCAACACAAAAAGTCTGAGGATTGATGCGCTCATACTTTATTTCAGTAAAGTATTTGGCATATGCCAAAGCTATTTACACAATACTACATTTCCATTCGAGATTTAATTGACGAGATGTTCTGCCAAATGATACTCAAGTTGTTTATACGCGTATATTACTTATATACGACATACGCAATCACATTCCAGTGCATATATAATAGTACAAACATGAATTAATGTCATAATATGCAGGTAAAGTTTTGATAAGAAATTGCACCGGCTTTTAAACTACGGCGAAATAAAAATTATATAATCCATATTTCATTTAAACGGATGTACGTCCTTATCTTTATTTGCAGCAAATATAAGAAGACTTGGATAAAATTACTATCAGTATGTATGCAACTGATTGTAAGATCGGGGCTTAACATAAAGGCTAGTAAATACAATTACCATCAATCATTAACTTTCAGATGAATAAGTCGAGATGTATTCCCATAAATACGGCACAAATTCAATAATTATAATCAGCTACATCATAAAGCATGGAAAATATCAAAAGTTATACAGTATTATGATAATTGTACTTGCCATGGGCAGTAGTACGATTAAGAGAAAAATTCGTTATTGAATTTCGCTATTTATCTATCACATATTCAATAGCTCAGGCGATACCCCTTTCGTAAATACAGTACTTCGCAGATTCAATAAATAGTCCCATTATAAGTTATGGAAAATACCAAAGTCTACAATATGATGGTTGTACTAGGCTGTACTATGTATATACAGCAGTATGATGGAAGAGAAAAATTGATTGTTGTTGAATTTTGGTGTAGATTCATCATGCGTGTACTTAAATCGTTTCAATGAGACTAAGAAATTGTTGATAATCTTTTTAACCTTATGATCATAATACTGTATATAATAACGATGCATTTTTAAGTACATTCCTCACAGGAAATAATAATTCAAATATGTAGTCTTAAAATTTAACTCAATCGAGGCTGTCAACGATATGTAATTTGGATTCAAAAGTCAATAATGCTTTTGAAGACAATTTCTAATTAGAAGGAAGGTTAGTACAACCCATCATAATTTTGTTTCAACTTCAACATCTTGTCAACAGAGTAGTAAGAAAACTTGCTAATTCAAGCCATAATTTATTCAACATTTCAAGCAAACAGTTATACAAACTACCCTATCATCTATAGCTATGAGACAAAATACAGGTCTATCGAATCTGACGTGGCACTTACTGTAATGCCAGGCTGATAATTAATTACATACCCCTGTTACGGCCAAAAATTAATAGGTGCACATACTCTTCCTAACAACATTATTCGAAGTATGCGATAGTTACAATTGTGTCTTGATATACATTAGTACTAAATTAGAATATTCAATACATTAATGTCTTGGATATAATTATAGGGAACAATGTCTTAAACAGAATTTAAAGCATGTATAGGAACGTACTAGGTACAACGTAACTTTATAGCATAATTCATTTACACGAGTAATCAGATGAACTTTGATAACCCTATAACGAGATTGCATGTCAAGATTACGGCCCAGCCTTCACCAGATACCAACAAAATTGCAACAACAACAAAACTGATCCATTGCCGATATACGAATTTGTCCATTACTGAACCAAGCATCGCTCCGAGTAGCCATATTTTGCGTATTCGAACAGTATTCAGTTATGTATGAAAATATGTAGATCTTATGATTCCAAGAGACAGTCACGGGTAAGTCTGATCAATTTCTATCAACTAAAGTAGTGTGGTTTCTTGATGTGTATGCCATATTCATTAGCTGCAGCGGCCAAATCCTCCATAGTCAAACAATATTGCTTATCCTGCGTGATGGTATGAATGGCAATCAGGCACAATTAAGTATCACATTGTACATACTAGATTCCATCTAAAGGCAAAACTGAATTTTCAACAAACCTTTGCGCCTTTTTTGTTGTTTTGGCTGCTACTACGCATTTTACATTGCTGCATAGCGTCACCAACAATATCAGATACGAATTTTTGGCTAGTTAAAGATATTAAGCGAATGACACGAGGATCAGTGGTATCAAAGCCAGCGCGATTTAGGTGATAGGTAGTCACATCATCGGGTATCTAGAAGGTGCATATAAAATAGCATCTATAACTCATTTTCATATGCATTCTCTAAGGATATGATGGACTTGATCTGGATATCATTTATATTATTATGTTTCTATTTTGTAGATTGGGTGTCAAGATCACAACCAATCTTTTCATGATTAATTAAAGCGGGGCTATCGTCATTTACAAAGAACTACCGTGTATACAGCTACAGCTATGCTGTTGATATATCTAAAGTTAGTGTAAGTTAAATATCATGACAGCACAAGATTACTGAATACGGCCGAATTTGCCATCCTCCAAGGAAAGAATATCGACCGTCGAGTGAGAGCTCGAATAGTAAGTATTTAAAACAATCTATCTAGGTTAAAGCCATCTTGTACGGTATAATATTATATCAAACGACGCAGATAATGTATGGGTAGAATTCAATCGATCGCTACATTAACAGAATATCCGACTATTATACAGTATACTGTATGATGCGTTGTTAGATCGAGCCCTGATAGATTTATGACTCTTATCCATAAAATTCTTCTAGTTGATGATTTTTGATGGAAAAAGTTTCAGACTGTAACACTCGTAGTGTGCTGTTGAGCCACTCGACTAAGTATTTCATTCTCTCATTCGTGTCGTTCCCCTAACAAATCTGTGGTATGTGACCATTTAGAATGCATAACATATGATAATTTCAAATACTGCCTAGGCTCTTTGTCTACCATTGATTAAACTCTCTACGTATCCTTGGTGGAATGCAAACTGTGAACGTCCCCCGACATGAAGAAGAATTCATTATTTGATCCTATCGATTTTATTTCTGGTCGTAGCCTGTGCAGTTGTCCAGCACAGATCAATGTCATGCTTATGCAATATCCCCTAAAGTTTAGGTTCACATGTAGTACAAGTTGAAGTCGTGGACATTGTGTAAGATGCAAGATCCTTGATAACAACATGGTCAAGTCTTACCGTTGGTGTATAATCATCGATGTTTTGTATAAATTGAGCTAAGCGAATACCACCAATTTGTGCGTTGTTTTCACCCATTGCAGCATGAGTGGCACTGCTGGCGTTTTTAAACTTCGACGTCGTATTGGAAGCAGTCGAAGTTACGGTGGTATGGCTGTTGGTTTTATCATTTTTGGCTTGAGAGGAGAGTACATCCTTTTTAGATGATGTAGTTAAGCTATCAAAACTTTGTGTAGTTATTGACGATGATGTTAAATTGTTGTCCGACGTCGACAAAGACGCCATTGCTGGTAATCCCGATCAGATTGCTTGATTTTCCAATCGCTGCTGACAAGGTCTGTTAAAATGGCGTTTGTTACCAGCTTTACCTAGTGAATGAGACAGTACACTACAACGGTCCATTTTACGGACCTTGACTACAATACAATGTACTGTACTGTCGTAGACTGTAGACTGTAGACAACAGGACAAGACGTTCATACGTTTTCATGCACTTGATGAAGATGCTGCAGCTAAAAAAGTAAACTAACAAGGTCGTAAAAGGCTAAAGAGAAGAGGACAAGACGTTAATACGTTTTTATGCACTTGATGAAGATACAGCTAAACTAACAAGAAGGTCATAAAAGGCTACAGGCTGCCGGCAGCTGTTGGATCTGACTAGAACCGAAAATACTTTTGCATACATGTGTACTCACTTAGAACACAACATGACTCATTGATGCTCTTTAATCAAGGACTACTAGAAATTTGCCTACGTCTTAGCAGTTTGTCATGTCCGAGACTGACGATTGGTTCTGATTGATGCGACTCGAGGTCTTGATCATCTGGTCCAGTAAAAATAGGCGCCATGCTGTATGAATATTGTACACTGTACAGTATAGCACATTATGATCAGCACCGTCGACCAGCTATTGTATGTAAAGCTACTATTAAATCAATCGATCGAGGTGGCATTTCTGTCTAGGGCGCTTTTCTCATGCATTCCTCTCCTGCTGGACAAGTTCATTGCATTGCAGACTTGTACGTAACATATATACGTATATCTATATGTTATATAGCAGTGTACTGTATGATGGCGCGCAACTAAAGCCAACCTTGAATACAGACGATACTCTGTCGTTTTTCTATCCAACTGAATAGCAGGATAGCTGCAAAATAGACGATGGACAGCTCGAAGCTACTGGACTGTTTTTGCCTATTTGTATACAGCATGATATACTGTACTGTAGTAGAAAAATGTCCTGAGTCCGTCGAATGCACTTGATCCAGCCTATTTTGACATCAAACTTGGACTACATGTCTTGAACACTAGCTGGACTGTTTTTGCCTATTTGTATACAGCATGATATACTGTACTGTAGTAGAAAAATGTCCTGGGTCCGTCGAATGCACTTGATCCAGCCTATTTTGACATCAAACTTGGACTACATGTCTTGAACACTAGCTGCCAATCATTAATTGTAATTACTAGTCAAAAAATGGCCGCGTATTGGTGTTCATCTCTCCATCGATAGGCATGACAGAAATGGCATACCGTTTGAAATAGCGAACCGCAACAGTGAAATTGCATACTCCATTAGTATATTGTCCTCATCGAAATCGTGTACAGGATCAATTGATCTGGCGCAGAGGCCAAGATGCCTCCATTGCCATTCAGCACGACTAAGCAGCCGCAGAAAGATGTCGATTGTGCGCAGTAGTTGTAAATCGGCATGTTGCGAAACTTGCTACTTGATTTTCTTCCACTTCTCATCAATCTTACGATTCTGCGTATTAGAGAGTAAATAAAATACGCAGTCTCATACTTCTGCGCATTACCAATGAGCATGGTTAAGCAGCCACAGAAAGATATCGATTGTGCGCAGTAACTGCGAATTGCTCAAGAGTTTTCACACACAAAGCTCTATTATAATGAATGAATTAATATGATGATGATCAGACGTCGTCAGTCAGAGTTGATGCATTCAACTTCAGATAGACTGACGTAGGGATGGACTCCATGATTCAGTGTACTACTGAGTCTACTGTACATGATGAGTAGTACGCAAATATATATGACATATAGACTGTGACATATATGTCGCGGGTCACTCTGCCCACGGGTCAGTCTCGATGAGTCAAAGTTACTAGTCCGGTGTGCTGGTACCGGTCCGGTCCCTATTTCTTCCGATACCGTATCATGGCTGTAGTGTCAGACGGACTGTGGTAGGACGTCGCTGACTAGACGGAGGAAAGGCATTTTCCATTCAAGCTGTCTATTAGCAAGCCGCTGACATTTTGTATTTCTCCATCATCGTTTTTGGCTCTCCATTCCAAAAAATCATCCTTGCAGTGGCTCATTGGCTTGGTCATGGCAGAAGAAGAGAATCAACAGTCTAATGGGCGTCGGCGTCTTGGTATTATCATCGCGATTACGACTATTATTCTTGCAGCGATCATCGTTCCAATCACTGTCGTTGCGGTCAACCAGAGGCAAATTCTTCAATCGACTCCAAGCAGCAGCGTCTCTCCTGATCCTTCGGGCTCTGTTAATTGTGGCGCATCGGTCTGCCCAACCAACATTAATCACAGGATTGATTGCTATCCAGAACCTGGTGTTACTCAAAATTTATGCACTCAACGTGGATGTTGTTGGCAGCCATCCAGCCAAATTCAAGGGGCGCCATCCTGTTTCTTTCCAGTAGGAAATCATGGCTATTCTGCAGTCAAACAAGTGGAATCGACGACATCCGGCTATTCAGCAACACTATCACGTTGTAACACTGCACAATATCTACGCCAAGGATTGCTTCGCCTTGCAATCAATGTGGCAATCCCTTCCAAAAATAGGCTAAGAATTAAGGTTAGTCTTGCCGTTCGACTGTACGTTGGACGATAAATGACAGACGATATCATTTCAGATATAAAATCATGACACCAATTTGGACACTTGTCATGGCTAGCACAAAATGATACCGATAACAGAGGTAGACACACGTCTTCCTGCACGGGCTAGGCGAGTCAGCAAGGAAACTTATTTTCATACACCATTATTTATCGTTGATTTAAATCGCTTCTCACCCGAGATCTTCTTTCCTATGTTTTATTTATTATCGCCACTGCTCTGATGCCTGACTGCAATGACTAGTGTTAAGTTTTATTTATTTTTTTTTTTTCGTCTAAAAAAAAATATGCAAGTGCAAAAACATTGCAAGTTCATTTTTCTGACTCTGACTGCAAAAGTAGCGTTTTACCCATCTTGCAAAGACTGTGCAATGGCAATCTTGTAGCGCTTGATTGAAATGGACAGTCTCTTCATACAGCATGAAAATCAGTGGACGGAAAAATGATTCATAGCATTTGTCCAACTTGAACATATCAAGCAGACGCTAGAATAGTGTTATTTTGTCATTCTCGACATCACTACTAGAGCAAAATGTTTCCTCTTCAGTACGAACAGCTGAGGTAGCCCTTACTATTGGAAAGGGTTGATAGATCCTATGACTTTTTATTCCATTTTGACATCGTCAAAAGGAGTGCTTTTCCTATTCTAATAAAGGTACTCTGTTTATGCAGCCTAAAATTGGACTGCATTGGAAAGAAGCTTTTACTCACCATTCCGTAGTCACGCTTGTGTAAATAAATAAATTGTGTCATAAACCGTTATTGACTTAAAGGCAAATAGGGCATTAGTCATACTATTGCATCCGCCGGCCTCGAGTTAACGCAAGGGCTACTAAAAGAGAACCTCTTCTATTACTGTAGTCCTTGCTCAAGTAAATCATTCGTCTCGATATTCTTCCTAGTCACGGCTGAGAGCAATAATGTAGATACCGCGTGCCGTGTCAAAACCTTATAAATAAATAAATAAAATGAAAAATTATCCAGACCAAACTGCAAATCTACATGAGACTATCTACCCGTATCGATATTTTAATTCTACTTTTTTTACTAGCGTAAATCAAGACTCATTCATGGCGTACTAATACTATTCTAATTTATGTTACTCCAGTTAATCTAGTGCAATTGGCTGTTTTTATTTCCGCGCTTCTTGTTGCTTTATAGCGTTGCATTTATGGTTTGTTGTTTGTATGCTAACTTGTAAGCCAATTTCTGAGTAACTCTGTAATTGCATTTTTTAACAGTAAATTATGCAATATCTAATTACTGCACATACGGCATCGTTAATGATCGAAGGAAAACATCTTGTCATTGGATCTGTAGGCAAAGTTATTTTTAGTCAATTTAATTTTGCAATGCCCGCTTGCAAAATAACATACCACAACTCAATAAGGGCTTCCATCTTGGCTATATAACCCATACCGTCTACCAAGTAAACTCCAATGCCCATTTGAAGGAGAAATGGCAGCTCGTAATTTGGCAGTGTCTATTTTTTCACCCTTTCTATCCTTTTCTGAAAATTTCCCATGACATTGGCCATTGCAATCAAACAATAAAGTTATGCAATGCCATGGCGTTACAATTATAGAATCATTTTGGCGCAACAATCTGCCTCCTTTCATATAGCCTACCCATGAGGTAAGATTCAATGCATTCTACCGTATTAAAGCGACTATGCCATGTCTGATTCCGACGGAGGATTAAAAATAGCCCTAGCTTATCCATGATCAGCCAGTCGTTTAGATATTGGACAACTGGTAATGAAATGGAGTCAATTAATTCCATCAAACCCGAAATACGATACGACACAGCGGGATCAATAGATCCTATATCACTACAATATGGCAGATTGATTTAAAATGCCTATTTTAAGAGAACGAACTCATGAATGAATTAATTACTGTAATAAGTCTGCGTACACTTAACCCTGTAGACCAATTTTTTTCCTTCCTAAGTTCAAAACCATTTGAACAGTAATTTAATTAGTAAGTCTACAAAGAAACTTATGCTATTCTGTAGACCATGTACTCGTCTACGTACTACTATAGAAGCAATTTTGGTGGAGACGACATGCACAGAAGTATTTTATCGACGAATGCAATACTACAACATAAAGTACATACTATTGATCACGGCATATGTACTCGCAGACTGAGATAGTAAGTTAGCAAATATTTAATTTCTTGCTGTTATTTCCTTATTTTGGGCTAATTAGCATACGTATTGTACGTGGAGAAAAAGCATTTCGTCTCTCCCGACAAGCGCACTGTAGTAAAATTCTTCGATATTTTTTAGTCACTGCCATACCGACTCCAGCGATAACTTTAGAAAGTAAAGTAAAAAACGGTAGTCTCGATGATAGTAATACCTGATGCTGTCGTTGCAATTTGCAAGTGCACATACTGTCCCGAGAACTCTCATCGCCGCTAACTGTGGCTTGCATAGAAATCAAGAAGGTTAAATAAAAATCTTATCGCTGATGAAAAGACATTTGTAGTTTTAATTCTTTCTCCTTACTTACAAACACCAGAAAGCCAATTGACTACGAAATGTTATTCGCATATTGACTCCTGCAGGCTTGTCAATTGAGATAGAAAAGAGTAACTAACTTGCAATCTGATACTGCATCTTAAGCGATACATCTAGTAGTTGCAACTGTAGAAAGTAGGAAGGGAACGATGAAGGGATTGGTAATCTTGAGAAAGTCGGAAAAGTCGGTACATGAAGACGTCATTAATTTATATGCGCGGGTGTCGATAATTATAATTTTAATGTCAAAAGTCGTAGATGTAGTAGCTGCGGTCATTTATTTTTAATTCGTATCTACTATCCATCATTTTAATCTTATATGGAAATTTACGAGTAAATGAGAATGAGATCGCTTTTATGGCTATGTATTGGTCCCCTGGCATCATCACATCCTTTACCAAGTACAGACCTTCAAATTATGTCCAATATGAAAAGGCACAATTTCTATCTACTCACACGTTCTATTCCAATATCGTAAAATGAATTGCTATGAAATGATATAAATTACAACGTTTTCGTTGCAAAAATACTCACGTTATTTCTCAAGACATGATCAAAAAGTGCAACCCCTTTTGGCTATAAAATTTGACCTACAATAGTGTGAATTCTTTTCTGGTTGTTGAAACTATTTTGACAAGGCTTCCTTTGCCAACTGCCATGAACCTATTAAAACTTGTCGTAGGTACAGTAACTTCGCCCATTTTAAAACAGGTGTAACAATAATTCTATAATTGCTATGCACCAATATTGAGCTTACTCCCCACTAATGACAATTAGTGGAGAAATGGAGCTTATTACCCTTGGCACAGTCGGAACACAGTTAATCTAGTTATGGACGTTAGTCGTGCGAGAATAGGATGAAAATTGCTAGAACTACCATGTTAGGATATCCACTCTTCTTTTCTCTAACTGCATGATGTGATCTGCAGCATGTATCCTATGCTACGTAGAAGACACTGAAGAACATTGTCACTATTTTAATGAACAAGTTGAGTTTTAATTTGATCTTGGTTTATAATCACATTGTTGGAGATGTTGCAAACTACTGCATGAATACACTCGTTACTTAGTTATTATCCATGGCAAAAATACATTCAATAAGGCCAAAACGGCGCAAAATAGAAAGACGATCAGTCATCGTTATGAATGATGATGATCGTCCATTTGCAATTGTCTGGTTAACTCATCTTGCAAATGAAGGTATCATATTTTACTGATGAAGACGACTATAACCTTTGAAGTGTCTTGTTTGTTACGAAAGCCCTTTACACTTTATTTAATGGAGCAGAATCAGATATATTCCATCCTGATTGTATTCAATTATTTAGATCTAAACTGGTTGGGAAAAGAAAAAATTCCTCTAGAGTAAACCTCCACGGTCATATGCGGACGTATTTCTCTCCCTCAATGTCGAAGTTGTAGCTCCATTTGAGGAGAAGCAAGCATCTATTTTTGAGAGGGGGGGGGGGGGGGTTGGATTCTTCAATCTTCTCCATGCAGATATTCTCTTTTCTTTCATGTTGACATAATAATGTCTTACCCGTCTCAGCATTGGGTCGATGCTGTACTGTAATTGCTTTTAACAACAATGCTTTTCTACTTGACTTTATTGTTTCTTCTTCCACTATAAGTTGCAAATGTTCTAAATGTCTACTGTCTTAAGGTAATATTGTTATGCTATCAAAAAAGATATCCTAGCAACCTATGGAATAGTTATAGACTATTGTCCACTTGCAAATTATTAATGTCATCGATGAATCAATCAAAGCAGTCGTGCTGATAGGGGATGGATAAATTGATCGAGTTGTGTAACATTTTTATTATGTGCTCTGTTGATTGAATTGTTATATCCCCCAAATCAGTCAATACAGTAATGTTAATAAAAGATTGATGAACTGATTAAGTTGTATCGTATTTCTAGCATGTGTTACTGTTAATTCATTATGTTTCATAATAAAATACCATCTAGTTAATCATCGAATAATATTAATGGACAGTATACTATTTACCGCCCGTCATGAATGGATTTATTCTTCAATCGTTATAGATTAGGTTATGAGCATCTTGAACGGCATCAAGTAGAATGTGCGATATAACATCATACTGCCAATCTAAATTTGAACCACCATAATTGAGAAAGTCATGTTAAGTTTGGCTACATATAGTACAGACATACACGTCGACATGGATAGGAAAGCCTCTATGTAACTTATTCATTCTTCAACCAGATTTTATATATCGATGACATGCATAGTACTTAATCATAATACGTAGAATCAGGTAGAGGTGTACAGACAATATTTGTATTTTTAATCTCAATTACAATCACGATGGTTGAGAAAGTCAATTCGTGTATCTATTTCAATAATGCGATAGTACCGGGAAAGGTCTTGGTATAATGAATTCATCAATCAATCAATTCATAAAACCCCATTTTATGGTTAGTGTGATCCGTTTTCTGCGATATGTTGAAATAGTAGAAAGTAAAAGTAAGAGTAATTAAGCGCTTAAAAAAAGACCAATCGCATCATGAACCTTCCTATCTATACACATACACGTATTAAAGCCATGCATTTGCGATCAATTTTTGTACACATGGATACAAAAATTGTAATATCGAATGGAGGGGATCATCGTCTTATTTCAGTAGTCTACAGTACATCATTTTACCTGCCTATAATAGCCCTCAACTCTGTTGTACCTTTGCTACTTTTTATTTCTTGATTACAGCACTCGACACAAGCAACAGTATGACTATATACGATACAACTCCAGTAGAATGTAAAGAATTCACCCATGTATGGCTACAGAACGCGATAGTGCGGTAAAATAATTTAACAAGTATATTAGATGACATCCAGTTGAAAGTGCGATGTAATATAAATACTGTAAATCGAAAAGTTTAAATTTCCATGATAGAGAAAATCAAGTCCTTCATGCCTACAGAATGCAATAGCATAAGAAATAGATCGATAACATTATTATTATTATAATACAAGTATTTAGATACAAAATGATTCAGTTAAAATTGACTTGCTTATCATCGAATTCATTTGCAATGAAAACACAGTACTCGATCATAGTATGCTTACACGATACTGTATTAATTGATCGGATAATTGCAGCCTTCGATACATATTACCGTATATCACACTAGACAAATCGGAGTGCCATCTTTCTCTTTCCCTTGCGACAATTCCAAAAAAAGGGATACGCGTATGAGTAACCACTGAGAGATGCATAGCCGACATGGTTAGTTAGCTAAATGCAATATCCATTTGTTATACGTATCATGATTTTGTAGAGTGAATATAGAGATACAGCAATGAATCGCTGCTTGAAGAAGATACGTAATTTATCTTGCACACTTTTTATCAATGCTATTTAAATAGTAAAATCATCTGTAGATGCTATTGCGTCGTAGTTATCAAGATATTACGTATAGTGTTGACAATTTATTATGACTGAATTGATGTCTCAGCCACTTGTGCACTGTGCCTAGGAGTTTCTATAATTACAACATACGATTGAAATCTCTTCCTACGTGGGGTACTGTCTACAGCACAGCATGGAAATCATCATCAATGCTCTAGAATAAATAGGCTTGAAAGACGAAGCGTTTATAATACTGTAAATTATACCTTGCATCACGGACTGATTAATAAACAATTGGCTAGATGGCGTGTATTTCTGCAACTGTATGCGCCCATTCTACACTATCTTCTGTTGCTACATGATAGGCTATGATAGGCACTTCAAATTATACCTGCTTGTCATCAATTTGAAGGTGCTACTTGATAAAATGCATGCGTATGATTTACTACGATGTTCACTATGATTAACTTCTTACTTAAATCTACCACGTTATCGTAGGCCGTCAGATGGAACTTATGCTGCACTGCCTTTATGTAACATAAGAAATAAATTATAAAAAAGACGATATACTCATACACTAAGTTGTTATTAGAATTTTGGTAATAAAAGTGCCACTTTTAAATCTTGTTTTAGATATTTGACCCAGCTGTTCAACGTTTTGAGGTTCCATTGAAACTACCTTCCATGAGCGGTAGTAGAGTAGACAATGCTGACTTCAATGTTGCATTTAATTCAACTCCTTTCGCTATATCAGTAACAAGAAAGTCCACTGGTGCCGCCATGTAAGTATTTTTAATCTTAAAAAGATCAAATTATAATTAAAAATTTCCTTTCTCTTATTAGCAGTTTGCAAATATCTAATACTACAGTAAGCTACTCGGTAATAAATGCCTAGAACGTGTTAACGTTATATCGTCTATATCCAATAATAATATATTGATGATCAATGGACTCTATATTCTCTTTAACTTTGTATCAAAATTTTTTCAATCGGCTAGTTTTGATACTTCTCTTGGTGGCTTTGTCTTTGAAGATCAATTCTTGCAAATATCGTCAAAATTACCCTCCCGTTACGTGTATGGTCTAGGTGAACATGAACATCGTAGTTTTAAACATGAAAATTTTAATTGGAAAAGATGGCCGATGTTCTCTAGAGATCAACCTCCAGGAGTAAGCAGCTGTATTTGAATGTAATGTTGCTGCTTTAACTTTTAACAATGGCTAACAACTGTATTATTACTATTATCATCTAGGAAGATCACAATTTATACGGTGTTCATCCCTTCTATCTTGTCATGGAAGGCGATAATACGGCCAACAGCTATGGAGTTCTTTTCTTAAATAGTAACGCTATGGGTATGTAATTTCACATTTAATTACTTGCAACATTCCTATCATTCTATTACGAACCTATCTACTAGCCTAACATTAGCATTAAACCAAAACTTAACGAGATTTATTCACCAACGGGTATCCTCTAATTATTAAGTATCAATGTACTTTTACAGAAGCTACACTTTCTCCCAATCCGGCCATAACGTTCACAACAACTGGAGGAATTTTAGACTTCTATATCTTTACCGGTGATAATCCCGAAGCTGTTGTTGAAAACTACTTGAGTGTAAGTATTAATTAGTAATGTCAGTAACTAATATTGACACTTTTGTAAATTTTATTAATTTCCTACTTCTAGTACCATGACTTATGTACTGTCTACCATTGAAAGTACATAAGCAAAAGTTAAGATATTACAGTCACGCATTTTGTATTAATATTAAATAATATTTACATTCTTTTAAGCTCAGTAAATTGGTCTGATGTATCTAGTATAGTGGTTAATGTAACTCACTATCTACTATTGAAAATATTTAAATATCGTTAAGATATAAAAGTCACACCATTTCGTTTTAGGACGATGTTTGGGCTTGCTTTCATCCTAGTTCTTTCTTTGACTAATCAGCATTATGTATATCTAGTTCATTGGTAAGCCTTTTATTCCTCCATATTGGGCGCTTGGATTCCAACTTAGTCGATATGGCTACAACTCTTTATCACGCGTTCAGCAAATTATGTCTGACATGAAAAAATACGACATTCCTATGGTATAAAAATGAAGATACACTTGTTATTTATTAAAATTATTATTGTTTACATGCTCTTTTTTTTTAGTGTAGCACCCTTTGAACGATTTACCTATTTTCTCGCTATGCTAAAATATGTATAATCTCAAATATCGGTAGGATATCCTATACGGCGATATCGATTATATGCGACATAGGCTCGATTTTACTATTGATCCTATCAATTATAATGGACTATCAGAATATGTTGATGAATTACATAGCCAGGGATTACACTATATCACGATTCTGGTATCAACATCAATAAATCATACTTAATAACAGTAAATCTTGGTTTATTCTTAGTTTAATTAACCATCATAACAGGATCCAGCTATCAGTGATAATCAAACACAGGGAACTTATCCGGCGTATGATGATGGTATTGCAAAGGGTATTTTTATTAATGATTCAAGAACTCCAAATGCACCACTAATTGGCAAGGTACATATTAGGCCCTGTCAGTAATCATAAATCAGTGTCATCAAGTTTGTTGTAAATAATTTTGCAATTACTATGAATTATATGTAATAGGTTTGGCCTAGAGGAAATGCAACATTCCCTGACTATTTCAATCCTCGTGCAGAAAAATGGTGGACTGATTTGATAGTCAACTTTCATAATGAACTTGCATTCGATGGGATTTGGATAGTAAGCTAACTTTGTTACAGTATTATTAATTCAAGAATTCTTATAGTTAATATTAAAAGAATTAACCTTGCATCCCAAATTTTAATTAAATTGCTATCGGTATCAAATAGGATATGAATGAACCAGCCAACTTTGTGCTTGGATCTGTTAATGGCTGTCCAAACAATACTTGGAATCATGCACCATATAAACCAGGTAGATGTGCTTATCATATGATCAGCTGTGTTACGCTTACTTCATATGTTGGTATGAGCAGTTATGCCACACTTGAAGTCATTAAAACTGCTGATATCAAATATATTGAAAAATATAATTGCAAATAATTCATTTATCTGTTAACTTACTAACTAACTAACTTATAATTGCGAACTTCGTCAGTTTCCATTAGAGGAAATGTTTTATATGATAAAACAATCTGTATGGACGCTTTGCAGTATATTTCCAAGCATTACGATATGCATAGTCTCTTTGGACATAGCCAGTTACTACCAACGATTAAGTAAGCCTCAATGACTTGTACTTGTCGTCTAGTATTTTTTGAACTAATGTTGTCGTTCTAACACTAACACTACCTTCTTGTCTGTGTTTAGAGCAACTAGAGCAGCGAATCCTGGTAAACGAAGTTTTGTAATTACTCGTTCTACATACCCTGGAGATGGTCAGTATGGTGGTCATTGGTTAGGAGATAATTATTCTGGCTGGCCGCCTCTTCATTTCTCTATAATCGGTAAGATTAGAATACGCTAAGAATTATACATTTGTATTATTCAATAATTATATTCTTTACGGCATACTTCAGGCTCCTTGGAATTTAACATCTTTGGCATACCATACGTTAGTTCAATCTTTTCTTTAAATGTTTATATGGTTTTACTACCATAAAATTCTCATTACATATACTGTACATTCGACGTCCGTTCGTATAGATTGGTGCTGATATCTGCGGATATTTTGACGATACCCAGTTTGAATTATGCTTACGTTGGATGCAACTAGGTGCATTCTATACCTTTTCTAGAAATCATAATGGCTATGGTTATGTATGTTATTACAGATTTAATTTCCTACCCTCTAATTCCTAAATTTGAGTTCTGTTATATTTATGAAATTATCGGTACTTATCCACAAGTTCCTCAATTAAAAAAAAAATTATAAGAGTTTATGAGTCTAATCGATTTTGTTGACCGAGACAGATAAGACAAGACCCTGCAGGTTTCGATACAACTTTTGCGCTAATATCCCGTGATGTCCTGACGATCCGTTATAGACTTTTACCATATTTATATACCCTTTTCTATCAATCAAGAAATACTGGTGCAACAGTTATGAGACCACTAATGTTTGAGTAAGTAACAAGATTGAACGACATCTAATTTATTCGCATTCTAATTAGGATTCTAGTTGTGGATTGGCCTTGTAAGCTAAATTGCGATATATGTTAACAAAATTTCATCGGTATAATATAATTGATGCTGTCAACAGATTTCCTTTGGATAAAACATGTCGTACCGCAGATCGTCAATTTCTTTGGGGCCCAGCGTTTTTGATATCTCCGGTATTGCTTCAAGTAAGTAGTATACTTAGAATGTATGTGAATTTTGGATTGATCTTAAGATATTACTTACGATATACTATACAAGTACTACATTACTAATTAACATGACTCGTCTGTAGTGATACATACCACATCACGCATAATCTGCTTCAATATATTGCTAGAAAAATTTTTAGTTTTTAATATATATTTTGATTTTAATAACGTCAATTTACAGGGAGTTATAGACTGGACCTTCTATTTACCTAGTGGACGGTGGTATGATTACTACACTGTATGTATCTAAAACTATATTCGTGAGACTTATTTCATGAGGACTAGCAGGGCGAAAAAATTTACAGTTATACTCTTTGGATAGGGAGCAGAAGTAACACCCACGATGCGAAACGTTACTGTTCCAGTTACATTGTATAGCGTACCTTTACATATTCGGGGTGGATTTATACTGCCTGTGCAAAAGCCGGCAAACACTACCGTTTATAGGTGAGCTATAAAATCATATATTTTACTTATTTGATTACGTTAGATATGACATAGATCTTTCATATCCGAAACCTGTGCCGTCCACTAAATAACTGAACAATATCGATTAATTGGACTTTCTGGAAACACACAATACTTTCAATTCTTGCGTTGTATATCCTCCTTGAGTAAATTGCAATTCAGCGATTAATATTTCCTATATTGCTTGTTGTATGTAGACTTTTATGCATGCGTATCACATGTTATTTATTGTACCCTATTTATAACTATTTGTTTATAAGTCGAATGAATCCATTTGGTCTAATCGCGGCCCTGAATACTACTAATGAAGCGAAAGGCAGTCTGTTTTGGGATGATGGCGATTCATTGAGTAAGTGTAAAGACCTACAGCCCTTTCTAAATTGTATCTTTATCCGTACAAGTCTTTATAGTATCAATTTAAAATAGCAATGATTACTATTATAGACATTCTGGACATCAAAATCATAATTGTTTAAAATCTGATCTGATATCAAATCTAGATACATTCGAAAATGGTGATTATGTGCTGATTGAATTTACAGCAACATCTGTAAGTTATAATGAAAATTCATTTATTAAACTGTTGCACTGCGCAGTGTTAGTCATAATGGCCTATGTTACATAAATGCTACATCATGCTTGCTACTGTGCACGATTTTTTTTCATGAAGCTGAACACTTGTTAAGAAAGTACTGAGAGATTCTCTAACTTGCAGAATTCACTAGAATCAACTGTAAAAACCAATGCGTATGCAATAGAAAGCAATCTGGATTATATTACTGTTCTTGGTCTACCAAATGCTCCGTCAGCTGTTTCCGTGAATGGTGTCTCGACAGTCAATTTCAGTTTTAATCCTACCCATAAGGTAAACCAGGTCCCTAATTTTTACAGCTTTAAGATTAAATTTTTGTCTCAACTATTCCGAATTCGACTAGGATTTCGTGATAATGATCAAAATATTCGACAACTACTTTTATCAAACGTTAATAAAAAATTTATTTTAGAAATACGGAAATATAGCAATGATACATCCAGTATAATTATTATTCCTTCATTTCAGGTGCTGAATGTTACTAGTTTAGACAGGGACTTGAATCAACCTTTCCGAATAAATTGGAACTGAAACTCTTTAAAACAATACCTACAAAACGATATCATCCAGTCAGGAAGTTTTAGTATCAAACATTTCAAAGGCATTAATATCTCAAAATGACTATAAAACTTTTCTATTAAACTCTTTTTGTTTTGTGAATATCGTTTACTTTAGCATTGATTTAAACGCTCTAATTGATTTGCCACTGTTGTTATGGGTTACTCTGATTGTAATTATTTAACAATAGTAATCTTCTCGTTTAATACCAATATTTTAATTAACGTCTAACTATTTATATGAATCGAGGCAATGTAATTTAATAACTGTTGCTTAAAGAGATACCTTAGTTCTATGTAATACCGTTAAGCAAGATTTGGTTCTTTATTTCTACCGATTTTATATGGCATTTTTTGAATTTGTTGTGTTTCCGTAGCTACGTGTACTGCCTAAGTATAATAAATAACAGAGCGCTATTTTAAGTCTTCATCAGTTACTCTTATAGTGGTCATGATAATTGAGAACCATACACGAGGACATTACAAATTTTTTTATAATATGTATTGAAACCTTCATCAGTTCGCCGTTTACATGAAATAGCCCAAGGAGTAATTAACCACCAATTACTGAATACGCTCAACACAAAAGTTTCATCACAATGTTTGAGATTGATTATCATATAGATTTAACAATTATAACATAAGATTAGAATTATTAACTATATTGGAGACGGAAAGCCAGATCTTTCGACGGAATTTTCTAATTTACAATAACGTAAATAGGGAGTGGAGAAAGTTTTCTACGCATATGCTACGCTACGTCAATAATTTATTAATATATAAAATTAATGTTTATTGCAAATCTTAAGAATACTGCTATCCTTATGTAATAATTGTTACTCCTAAGCTTTTCCGAACTACTGGTTCACAGTAATGCTGGGACTGAATGCCTTAGGATAAAAATAACTTTTATTACATATGTCACAAGTCCCACTTGTGATTTGGTTTCTAGTCTCTACTAGTTCGTCCTAGCCCGGAGCGACTACTGCCGGCGAATGGCAATTCGCTCGGGCTTTTATACCATCCCCACTCATTTGTGGGGCATACTAGTAAATTGCTCCTTCCACAAATTGTATAAGTTACTATAGGGAATTACTCCCGGACAATTAATATGACTTAGTATGAGCTTGGATAGTAAACAACACTAATGAAAAACAACCAATTATGGTGCCAATCAGCGAGCCTGAGCTCAGCACCAATACATGTAATTAATTATTGGAGCAGTGCGCTCCCATAAGCTAATCCTATATTAAACAATATTATATCTAGCTACATATAATTAATCCTTGTTGATTGCTCCATTATTGTAAACAACCAGTACTAGTGCCCCATGGTTGCCTACCAAAATGGTAAACAACCGGGTTAATTTAATTGTTATTACCTAATTTATAATTTACGGAGCTACACTTCGTAACAACATAGTCTAGTAATCTCTACTCGGCAAATTTGACAGGCTACTTTAGCTCTCTCTCTAACACCCTTTTATAGGATCCGAGCCCATCTTATTTTCCGACATATTTTGAACGAAACTCTAGCACAAATATTTCATACAGGGACTATCATTTATTAATATTTTACTATAAACTTTTGGCCATTACTAGCAGCGCCTTATTTTCTTCCTCTTGGCTCTCGTTTTGGCCTTTCGGAGCCAATCCGGTTACTCGCCGGGCTCACAACTTCACCTCGCTAAGTAGGTAAATTCTCGCCCTGAGGTATCACCAATCTGAGCCCAATCGTCGCAGCTAAACAACAGTCTCACGACCGATCCATCATAGCGCTAACATAAAATCTATAAATATCTAATTCTAATACAGATTACAATATTACACCTTAATACATTGATAGCTAATGTATGTTCTTACTTATTTCCCATTTTTAGTACGGTATATTCTGTACCAAATCCTTACTATCGGATTACTGAATCTACCAGCGGGCTGGCTCTACTCTACAAAAATTAACAGCCGCATGTGGATAAAAATGTGAGAAATAATCACGTTTACAACAAAAAACGATGATATTACATTCAGCTCGTGGCTGCAGAAAGGATTACTTGTTCTGTATCTTTTCGCTAAAAGAAAGTATTTTTGATTATATTATTAATATTCCTTCTACATTGCTAGTAAGTAAGAGCAATGCCAAAGACATCGTAAAACAAACAAAGCGTACTATAAAAACTTACTGGTACGCAAGCAATTGGGCAAATTAATCACGTTTACTCTCAGATCAACACCGCACCGCGAATTAAATTATTATCTAAAATGTTTGCACGTCGGTTATCGAACTATTTTTCTACTATATTCAAGGTTAAATAACCTTTTATTGGTAAACATGTATTTATCATGTTTAGCCAGGTAACTAGTAATGACATAAAATGTATAGCTCAAACGATGTGTGGGATACGAAGCAAGAAGTATAAGTATATAAGGGTGACTTAGAGAGACAGTAAAATATCACATTAATTCACTATACCGATTAACGCAATGGCTACAATCAGAGTTAGGCTATTACTTGATACACTAGCGTGTCGGTTCATTAATGGATTATTGTATTCTCAAATTAAACATTACTGTATAGCGAGCTATATATATATAATTGGAGATCTAGTCGTTAGCGTATTATACAGTGGATATAAACCTTCATAGATAGACCCATATATAAGAACAGATCGTACATGTACTTAAAAGATGAGTTCAAATCACTTAAAAAAGAGTTAAAATATTAAAAAATATTAGTTCACTACGGTAATCTTATTGGACATCTACAACAATGTCTATAACGTTTGTTTAGCTAGCCATCAACATTATGGATGTATTTGATACTGTAATTAACGTCGAAAGAATAAGCTGGAAAATTTTTATGACTACTATTGGGCATTATAAAGAATAATCGCATTGTTATAGTTTAAGCATCGCAAATTATAGGTAGAATAAGATAAACTCAGTCGATAATGTAATAAATTAAAAAGGATGGACACTGGCCTCCATCAGCTTTGAAATTAAATGATGATACAATGTAAATCATGTGTAAACATGCTTCTGAAAGGCTTGGTTGTGCCCAATTAGAACCGCCTAGATGATTCTTTAAATCATGTGGACATTTACAGTCAATAACGTTGCACAAGCTCGAATGCTATATGATATTATGAACTCGTACGTACAAGCTTATATTCGTCGAAACAATTCTTCAGGCCAATTAAAGCTGCAAGATATAATTAGCTGGTACACATTAACAATATTATCTAAATAAATTGAAAACATTCACTGATCCGTATATTGTACTGTCTTACGAAAGTCCATTTATATTCGTATTCAAGACAATAGGTAGTCAGTTGATTGCTACTGAAAATTGAACGCTTCGTTCGCACACTTCTTTCTAGGGTGGAAGCTGAAGCTCGATTAAAATGGTTGGAAAGTTGGTCTTTGCTAGTATTTTATGCTTAGCTATTACAGGAGTAGTATCACAACAATCACCGAATGCTAAACCCTGTGATAGGTAAGGTATTGCAAAGTAAATTAGATGAAAATACTACTACATGTAGATTTTGAAGATAATTAATTCAATGTGTACGAAAACCGCTGCAGTAACTGCATTTTTATTTCTCCCTCCTAATAACCGTCTTCATCGGCGCTCTAATTTGATTCTTGAAAATTTGATGTTTATAACAATTTTGAAAGGCTAGTACGTATATCATACTTAATCGTAAGGCTACTACAGCACATAACAATAAATTGAACCACTGAGCGATAATATTTTACAACTTCAGTAATTTTTTTGCAGTCTGTACAGTAAAAATAATCAAGAAACAGCTCACATAAATTTTATTTTTGATTACGGCTAATGTCAACTGATCGGAAAAGCAAAATCAAAAATTCTCCACCGCTAAAAGCCTTTCCGTTTAGGTGTATCGGTCAGGAAACCCCTCTTGCATCCTTTTTTAGTTTACTGTCTCCTCATTAACCCTTGAATATGTATTAATTAAAAACGAACATACTGCCATTCTGACCCCCAAATTTGTCTACGACATCAAATTTTTATGGAAAAAATTTCATGTCTGTCAATTTAGTTGCTAAAAATGTTTGGTTTCAGCTACTTCATCCATTGTAACGGATTCCCATTTGATAAACTACAATATTTATCTAAAATTGGTATTTCACCTCATACCGCATCTAGTCCCTAAATGTATAGAAACATGGAATGGGAATTAATAAGTTGCGACCTGTTGGAGGCTACTAGTAACTTTCTTAATATAAGAAAGCAAGTTGTTGTTGTAAAGACAGAGCAATCATGAATTTTATATCGAATACAATACAATACAATACTTCAAAGCGTTGCATTAATTAAAGAACATGCATAGAATTTTACCGAAGATTAGTGCCTTTTTATGCTGTTAGTACGCACTACTCAGACAATACAGAACAAATTTTTATCCTTATAACTTTCACCAGACCACGAAATAGGTTTAACGGTCGTGTAAAAGGATTAATGTAGCTGGAGAATCCGCTAAATCATGTCATGGTGACGGTCATAAACTTAAAAACGTTATATCACTCAAGGCTGAAGATGATGTTGCTAACTAGTATCAATAGGTTCAATCCTTCCTTTATAACACATGCAATCTAGTTTTCATCCTACAGCATTCCTACACAGAAAACTGAAAATAATTTGGTTGTACTAATTTTGAATAATTTAGACCATAACTGCGTATGAAGGGAGCCTCGGGGTAGTTAAAAATTTTTGACTGTTCAATTCGGAGATAGAACGGAAGCAATTTAATCATAGAATAATTTCATCGAGTAGGGCAATAGCATAACGAACTATTGCTTCGTATTCATTCTATTACAGCAACATCATCTCGTGTCCATTTTTTTAATAACATTTTTACACTATCATGGTTCACTACTCATGCAGAAGTAACATTGGAAACATTTCTCTATATTAGCGAAATATTCTGCTATGGTGATCTCCTCCGACGAGCCCAAGATGCCTATATTTTCAACGATTCTAAATCTTTCGTTGATATGAAATTGAAAGACTCTCCAAGTAAATATGGTTTTTAATTAATTTATCCATCCCCTAGTAATATCAATTTATCGATCGATGAGTAGAGTTGTGTTGATTTAGTGGCTTATATACAATAATAAGAATATTTTTGTAAGATATATCTATTCAATATCGTAAGTTAAAATTACTTAAAAGGAGATAATAATACTTTTAAAATTCGAATTAAAATTAAGGATAAAAATCAAGTAGCCCTTGGATAGATTTGCTGGCTTTATTTATAATATATGCAACGCTAAATAATTGATTTTACTTTCACTAAAAATCCAACTTAGCTAACATTCTAGCCGCCTTCCGAAACTTAGCGCCGAATGCTGATATAAAAGCATTTGTAAAGCAATATTTTTCAGACCCTGCTCAAGATTTGGAAGCATGGACACCTACAGACTGGAAAGAAAAGTAAACGCTGTCATACTTTCGCATAGAGTTTCCGTCACATAATATTTTTGCTCTATTTAAATTGAAATTTTCTTATACTTGTATAATGCGTCGTAAAAAAATTGATAATTAATGACATTTTTATTGGCACAGTCCCGCAGTGTTGAACAAAATTAAGGACAGCGAGTTTAAAAAATTTGCCAAAGCTTTAAATGAATTATGGAAAGTTTTAGGAAGAAGGGTAAATATTAATAAATTGTGTTGAGTCAATGAGTAATTCCCGAGATAAATCTTGACTTTAGTAGCTTACTGTACCGTAATCATACGTCTTTATACATTGTAATTGATAGTAGTGACATTATTCTCTTCATTAGTATTATGACCATTAGTTGTTGCGTAGAGTGAGAGCATGACAGGCGAAATTAATTTCAGACTTTCAAATCTCACCTATATCTATTTTACTTAAAATATTATTGTACCACAATTCTAAATAGTTACGATAATTGAATTAAACCTTAAAACATTTATGGAAATAACGCTATATGTGTGAATCTTTTGAAAAAGGTATTAATAAGCAATGTTTTATTATGCAATCAATACTACGTTAAAACTATTAGATGAAGGACGAAGTACAAGAAGATCAAAATCGAACATCTCTAATTTATGTCCCAAATCCGTTTGTTGTACCAGGAGGACGATTTCGAGAATTCTATTACTGGTACATTATCTCATTAGAATAAATCACTTATAAACACAAAATGATCCATTTTTGCTTCCATCAGAACTACAATATAGACATTTTATTAAATAATAACTTTCTGGTTTTGTATAGGGATACATTTTGGGTTGTTGGTGGCTTATTAGTTAGCGATATGGAAGATACAGTTAAAGCTATGATTGGAAATTTCGAAGCTATGGTTGATAGGTAAACGGAAAATTGACACTGTAACAAGTAATAGTTGTGATAGCTTTTCTTAAGCTGTACCATTTTCTAAGTAGTCATCTTCTACAATTTTTCTTTTCATCCTGGAATCATAACATATGTAAACATATTCTCACTTCATTCCATTAGATTTGGATTTGTACCCAATGGTGGTAGAATTTATTATACGAGAAGAAGTCAACCCCCATTTTTTATCCCTATGATTAATAGCTATTATGAAGCAACTAATGATCTTAGCTATGTCCAAAGCTTGCTTTCAAAAATGGAAAAAGAATACAATTTCTGGATGAACAACCGAACTGTTGATATCGTACGCAACGGAAAGACATATACACTTAATCGTTATGCTGTTGATATGGGTATGCCAAGGTAAGGCATAAGACATTTTAATGTCCATCCTGGACATCATTAATTGCAGGCAGACATTATCCATTGCGATCGTAACCCTTATAAATCGTAAACGATATTCAAAGAGATGCAACGTCAGTTTCATTGCGTAGCAGCTTAACGCCGGGAATAACTAGGTAGCCAGTATCTCTCCATTACAATCATAGCCCTACGAGTATAAACGATATCTAAGGAGGTAGCAATATCAGTTTCATTGCGTTACATTTTAACGCTGGAATAACTAGGTAGCTAGTATTTTTACATTACAATCATAGCCCTATAAACAGTAAACGATATCCGAAGAGATGGTAATCCCGGTTTCGTTGCGTAGCAGTTTAATACTGAAACTTACTAGGCAGCTGGTATTTCTACGTTACTACTATAACCCTGTAAATAATAAAGGATATCCAAGGAGATTGCAACATCAGTTTCCTTACGTAGCAGTTTAACGCTGGCACTAAACTAGGTAGCCAGTACTTTATACTACAGTCATGACCCTACAAATAATAAAAGATGTCCAAGGAGATGGCAACATCAGTTTCATTGCGTGGCAGTTTAGCGCTAGCACTAACTAAGTAGCATATCTATCTCTACGTTAGAGTCATAACTTAAACAGCAAACGATATCCAAGCAACGTCATTGTGTAGCAATTTAACGCTAGCCCTATCTAGTTAGCTAGTATCATGTACTATAGAATTATAATTAATTTACAATCATAAAAATATTACTTTGCCTGGCAAAGACTCAAGTAGTAATCAATTTATACGGCATAACCTGAGAAGGGAGAAACCCACCATAATTATATATATACGTACAAGTTTATTTACAATTCTTCATTTATTACTCAGGCCAGAATCGTATCGGGAAGACGTCGAAACTGCAAAGAATTTAAATCCCAATGCTGGTATGCTTCTATATCACTACTTGAAATAGTTGCCATATATAAATATATTAATACATCATCAATTTTATTGATTACAAATAGCCGCAGAATTGTATTCTGATATTGCTTCCGCTGCCGAAAGTGGTTGGGATTTTAGCAGTCGATGGTTTAATAAACCTATTGGAGATTTATCTAGCATAGTAACGAAGCAGATTATTCCAGTTGACCTAAATGCTATCCTTTGCTTTAATGAATTAACTTTAGAGAAATTTAGTAGAATGCTAGGTAATCATTTAATTCATTCCATTAAATATATAAATGCTATAAGATATACCTTTAAATTATTATAATAAAGACCATTGCATAGGAAGGACATTATTCGATATTTTAAGCTGAATAGATCGTCTTCTATATTATTAGGAGATAATGCTAAGGCTGATAGGTATAAGCGAGCTAGCGAAGCACGCCGTGATGCTATTGAAGGTGTACTATGGGATGAATACGAAGGAAGATGGCTAGACTATGATTTACTATCGAAAAAGCCGCGAACTGATTTTATGGGTTCAGTTTTTCTACCGATGTGGGCAAAATGTTACGATTCTTTCAAGGGTAACGTCACCAAGGAAAGAAAAATCCACCAAGCCCTTAAGGTAAATTCACATGAGAGTCATCTATAGGTAAAAATTGTTATACAAGATCATTTGATAAAGGAATTCATCTGTGTATTGTAATAAATATGGCTAATTTAGTTTCAAGGAACAAATTACAGATATTAAATGCCATCACTGATTAGCTTTTTCTAATATTATCATTTTACCAGAATGAATAATCATAAAGTGTGTTGCCTATTCCGACAATTTGTTTAATTCATTAATATTAAGCATATTATGATCATTGGTTTGAGTTTAGTTCGATGTAGATTGCAGAGGCGATTGTAAAAAGATGTTGATGAATCTCAACTACCCTAAGCAATAATAGTGTTCGAATGTGGCAGATTTAATTAATCACATTACAATCTTAATGTCTTATCAACCTTGCTTAAATCAATTGGTAGACGATTTATTATACGCGCATAGTATATGATACAGTTACACTCAATAATATAATTGGTGTCAATCTTGCTTAAATCAATTTATAAGCGATGTGCTATACGAGTATAGTATACGGTACTGTTAGACTCAATAATTGCTATCAATCTTGCCTAAATCAATTTCTAGGCGATGAAAATCTTCGATTTTGCTGGAGGTATACCAACCACTTTACTTCGCAGTGGCCAGCAATGGGATTATCCAAATTCATGGCCACCATTGCAGCAAATGGCTGTTGCAGCTATGTCCGGAAGTGAAGCACCAGAATTAAAAGATGAAGCTTTCAAATTAGCTCAAAAATGGCTATTGACAAACTGGCGATCATGGAAATCGACTGGTTATATGTACGAAAAGGTCAGTAGAACTAAAAAACTGTAAATATGTTGTAGCCGTAAATGTCATAACGTTCTTTCATGGCTTTGATATAAAGTAACTGGAATATTTTTCAATTAAATTTGTATACAAATAGTTCGATGCTGCTATTCCTGGTAACCCAGGAAGAGGTGGAGAATACAACGTACAGGTATTCTTCGATTAATGTCAATCTAGGCATTGATTACAGTATGATAATAACTAATAATTCATACCGTCAATTCGATAAAGAAATTGCAGTTAACATTAATTTTCCAAGGATTAATTTAAAATTTTTGAATATCTAGGTGGGCTTCGGTTGGTCCAATGGTGTCTGCTTGGAATTTTTAAGCCAGTACGGTGATAAAGTTGTTGCCGATCATAATAAAACTACAACAGGTGCAGCAGTTGGTATGAACCATAACCAAACGCAAGTGTGGACCCTGCTACCATTACTTCTGCTAGTTTCCTTTCTTCTTTATCGTTAAATGACGCATATGCGCCATTGTGATGATCAACATTAATTAAACTATACCTCCGTGATCATATTCCTATAAAAATCATAATTATAATCGGCATCCATCCTTTTCGATCCTTACCACATAAACTAGCTTTGTCATAATTCCCTCATTATTAGTAGATAAATGCTATATAGGTCTAAAAAAAAGTATAGAAGTGGGCTAATAGTGTAATTCTTCCACTTGTATTTTGATTATGTGTTGCCATGAGCACAAATGCTATCGTAATCATTTAAGAGCAGGTACTAGACAAGTTACGAAATAAAATCTGGAATAATCACCTTTAAAACAATCTGTTTTTGTTCTATGTTAACGTTTATATAGCTTTGCGTTGTGAATGCAAGACAATTTAGTTTAGATGATGACGTAAATTCAAACCAGTTACCGTAACTAGAATTCCAGCGTATTATTGAACTATTTTATAATACATACAGCCAGACATCTCCCAGTAAAATATTTCATGTATGTTGAATATTCCCCTACATCGATTTTTGGCTGTGCATCTAGCATACGGCCGTATGCTGCCAATTTATGCCGTATTTAATGTTAGCATATCATTACCACAATAACATCAGAAGTTTACTTTAAAATTGTAATTTATTTCCGACACTGGATGCAGAGAACTCGTTACTATCCGTTCTATCCACAGAAAAACGTTAGACAGATACGTCTATATTCACAAGAAATTTAAAATCTCCCAACACAGATTCACTTTCATTAGATTCCTGATAATTAAGTAGGTGTATAATATAATTGAAGCGAATGCAGGCCGCATAAAAAAAGTGTGAAACAATTTTCTGCATTATCGTTAAAGAAGCATCTCATACTTATAAGTAGTAGAATATTCCAGATGAATATATGGTTATCATTTCTCTCTCAGCCGAAAATGAAATAAATACAATTACAACATGAAAACTGTATTAACGTCTTTTAATTTAGCTATAACAGTATATCAGATCTATCAATAACTCTCCAAATTAGCATCCTATTAAATATGAAATTTACAAGAATGCTGACAAATTTTAGTGATTTAGAAATAAGTAATAGAGTAAAAATAGCACATTATTAGGCCTTGAATTGAAGTAAAGGCTACAAATATAACTTGAATAATATCCCTCGAGGCAGATATTGTCATAAAAGTCAAATTTGAAAATAGCCACGATAGTCCTAGAATAACTACCGCTCCCACCAGTACGAACAATCTGGCGGTAGAAATAGGAATAAAACGTCGCTCATTGAAACAGCGAATTTTCATTATGATCAGAATAAATGCTATGAAAGTGGCAGCAATAACTCCAAACATTGGGTACAGAAAAAAGTCTTTTGAAAAACTTTCCTTCATCCAACAACTATGATTATAATGACATGATTTAAATTAGATATTTTTAAAGAAATTATTATAAATTTATATTATTTTACATCCAAGTATAGTTATAACTTTTCTCATAACTATCATAAATTAATGAGCATACTTATACCACTAGCATCTAACTATCATTCTTAGAGATGGAAATTACTTACCGCCCATCAGATTGAAGATGGTAAACGTTAATATTATTGACAGTCATACAAATAGCGACAATGACACCTGGTATAGCTGATAAAAATTAATCCGAATAGCGAACATTAGATTAGGATATGTATCGAAATTACTTCGTTAGGGTAATGAGTCGCTAACCTATTCCTACTAGTACCAATTTAGCCGTTATGAAGACATTGATAGAAGTATAAATTAATTCGAGATAAAAATGCAAAGCCAAAATAGCAACCCATAATATTTTCGACATCAGAAAGAAATGGATAAGGATAGCCATACTGCGACAAATTGTGCTGCTAAGTTTCGCCCTTCCATCGAGTAATATTAAGGCATTGGTAATCAATTGGCTAAAACTTAATAAGCATACAATTAAGTTGCTTTTTCTTTTTCGTAATTTTCTAATATTCCAGCGTAGATCAAACCCAAGAAATAGAAATAGAAATAATAAATATATAGCAACCATACAATCTAAAAAGAAAATCATGCTAAAATCTCGGTCAGTTTTGTTATATCTTACTAGGATAATACTTAATAATAACTATTGGATAGTTACCCAGCTATGTTAGTAAAAATCTAGGTTAAATATTAATATGTCCATTTTCTGCATACATATTGTATAACATTCTAAGTGAATTACGACTTTAATAGTGTCAAAGGGCAAGATTGAATATATAATTTTTCTACAAAGAAAAGATTTTGTGAAACCGCAAAGGTTTATCGTATAGTATGCTTTATTACCAGGAATTTACCTGCAGATCACAATGATAAACATTATTAGTAATGAACCAGCTAGAGAAAAGCCATTTCCAAATTGTTCTGCTGATCTAAGTAACAAAGGATAGAGAACCGATTCTGCAGTAATGTTAGTGCTCCAAGTGGCAATTATGTTCATCTCTGTCGACAGTGTTGTCGGAAATGATGTTGGATAATTTATCCACGTAATCTAAATGGAAATAGCCAGTGAATCATGCATGATAAATAGATTAAATATCAGTACTCTAGCATACTATTCATTTTTCCCAAATTTAGTCCGTTATAAAGTTTACTATGGTAATAATTTAGCTCTATTTTGCATTATTAACGTTTCAGTATAAATATCAAATTAATAAAATTCTCTAAAAAAGGATAAAAGAGTCATTTATTAAGCAAATTCTTCGTCAACTACGTTAAGAGTATTTTATAAGGTGTATAAATCAGCCATACGTAAGATTTATTAATCGCCTTTTAATTGTTTTCCAATAATTAATAAATGAACGTAATAATAATAATTGTAAAAGCTGCACAGATTCAATCGATCTGATGTTATCATTATACTGTATAAATACCGCTTGAATAGAAGATATGAGTAGATTTAGACCTACTACTGTAATTTTGCCTTAGCATTATTCGTTCTGTACTTGTATAAGCTATAGAATTCAGCAAATTATTAGGATTGCTTGCTATCAGCAATACTCGTAGTATTACAGAAAAAGTAGCTATAGTATTCGCTTTCTATTTTAAAATGAATTGAGGAAGTCTTAAAGTTTGTAAACTATTGTCACAGTCATCAAAATAACTTAGATATAGAAATGTAGTTTATGATAACATTTTGTTTTGAACTTTTTAGAAGTATGAACTACTACTTTATGAATTGTTACTCTTAGTAATACCCTAAGTTATTAAGATATTACGATGATATAGTAATATCTTACAAGTAAGTATCGAGAACATAGGAGCTTGACAGGGCTTACAGTCGAAGTAGATTTACGTATGAAATTGTTTATTACCTCGAATGTCCGTATTTGATAATTCAATCGTAATAACATGTTTGTTATTGAAATATGTTGGTATCAAAGTAAATATGTTTATAGCTACTGAAAGAGTATAGAAGAAGGACTGTGTTCAATAAAAAGGATTTTCAGCTTAAGGCTAAGTTGTGTGATAGTTTTATATCGTATAGTGTGTTGAGCGAGTTAGTACTTCGTAAGGATTCCAGTTACTATACCGTAGGCTAGGGAAGTAGTTCTGCGGATTAACGTAAAGTTTATTATAAGTACTGTGTTGTTTTCTTGTGTCGCAAGAGTAGTTGTGGCAATTATACTACATAAAAGTAGTAATTCTAAGCCGAAAAACTAACTGCAGTAACTTACTACGTCACCACTAAAGTGTAAATGCTATATTTTACTTTATGATCACAACAACAATTTTACCATATTTACCAAAATAATTTAAAGTTGCTGCTTCATCATTTAAAACTCTCAATTAGTGATATCCATGAAGGCTTATCTAAACCTCTGGTACTGCGTTTAGAATCATACATATTCTATTCTTAAAGCAACCCTTTTGTAAATTAACAGACAAGCATGACAAAATCACTAACAATTTACATTACAGACAAGAACATGTATAGAACCAATCTAGCATACCAATCCAGTAGTATCCACAATATCCAGTTGCAGTTGACCAATATAACCTTTGCTAATGACTTGCTTCCAAATATCGTTAATTGTTTCATTACATTCACTTACTAACAGCTGGAAATACAACTCTACTTTTGTACGGATGAAATTCCTATGAAAAAGTAAAACGTTTTACGCTCAATGCTCGTCAGTGTCCATTTCCTTGCCAAAATAGTTCTGTTGAAGAATTCTCTAATCTTTGTAATCTATTTAGTAGCCTATTTATTATTTACAAGTCATTTTCCATTGATAGCAATGGTAATAGGTTTAAATTTCTTATAACATTATCTCCTCCAGTTTTTGAAACATGTATTTAGTTTATGCTAATTCTTGTTATGGAGAAGACAGATTTGAATCACTTGCTTATTCTAGTACTTTATTTATTAATGACATTAAAGAAGTTGCATTTTGGATTCACACACTATCAATTTCTATACTGCCGGAATTTACATCATCGTATTGGAAACTAATCGCCTACTTCTCTTTTTCTATTAGTCAAGAAACAGTAATACATACTGTCTTCTATAATACGCCTTTGTAATTAAATAAAAATTTTTGATAAATTTTTACTCTCATTTTCCGAATATTTCCTAATAGCATCAATGAAATGATTGAATTAAAGCATATATAAATTTCATTTACGGTAGTTTGCTATTTTGAAGTTACTTTCTTATGATTTTTCAGGAAAAACAATAATTATTTTAACCCATTTAGACCCAGATGAAAAAGAAATTTCCTTGACAGCTTATAAGACCGAACTGCAGTTAAATTGGTGCGGTAGATAATGACATTTGACAAGTATGGGACAATTATCTTACTAATAATGCATTTACATCACAAGAACGCTGTCAAAAAATTTAAAAATTATTTAAAGTCTACTGTTATTTGCAAGATATGAATAGATTGCAATCACGTAGAGATATGTCAATTTTTAAACTCTAAATTAAGTCTTACCTGCAAGATGCAGTAGAAGAGGCCATTTTCCGGACTGGCGGGGCTGTCGCTGAGTCACAATATATCGCGGGACTATTTTAATCCAAAACAGAGTTAATATTAGTACTATTTATTATTAATCTCTAACGCGTTAGCACATTCTGTGGAATATAAACAATATCAAAATATTTATAGTCCATATCCGATATCATTTCTATTATTGTCTACATGGCAGAGAATGCAGTGAATAGATTGCCGATCGAATTAATATCAGATATCCTCTAATGCCTTCTTTCAATTATTATTTTCTCTTATTGTAGTATTTATGATAAAGTAGTACTTCATACGCAAGAAACAGAATAA